ATGCAGTTCCACAAACAAAGAAGTAAATTGAGACACGTTTGCAAAGCTCACCAGGGTCTGAAAGTAGACAGAAAGCGTCTAAGATGGTTCCACCTAAGTGTGGGACATTGCAGTAGATGGCTTAAAGTAATTAGTACTGTAGGTGTCTCTTAGAGTTGTTACTTTCATTTTTGACATGTTCCTGAGGTCATGGAATAAGTGTTTTGCTGCTAAATGATACCGCATAGGAAAAAAAGTCCATTTCAGGCACACTTATGGGGACCTCTGGGCAAAAGTATTATTAGGCAGTTCCTGGCACTACTGAGTATTTAGCTGTCACGCTGCAGTCGTGGGGAGGGAGAGCTGCATTGTGTATCTTGTGAGGAAAGTGGATTACATAAAATCGTCAGGGAAACGCTAGTTAAGAGATTTCTATTGTGTGGGAAGCAGAGTGGTGCTTTTCGCAGAACACACGCCTGTCTTGGGGAGCTGAAAGGTACCAACACTTGAAATAACGCATTGGGAAGAAGGTCTCCGTGTGGTTCCTTAGGTTATGTAAGTAATACATGTGCATGAGTCTTCTCCCCCAAAACTGAAGGCTGCTGTGAAGCTCTCCTAGCCGGGCTGGCTGCAGGAGAGAACTGGTTAGTGTGTGGACACATGCCAACACGGATGCTGTGAAGTATTTTGCTAACAGACCCCAGCAAACTCACTATTGGGAGCCTGTGAGTAGCCCTCAATCCACAGGGTGGCTGAACGCACCAATATTTTTTACCTGGGGGAAGAGAGATGATCACTGACCTGCATATTTTCCCCTCACTGTTTACCCCTAAAACTCCAGCAGAATTAGCTCATCAAGCAGCGGTTAAGTCCTCGCTGAATTAAAAAATTGCATATTACTCAGGTCTTCTCCAGCTGCAACCTTATTTTAAGCTTCTCGGTTGGAGGAAAGGTTGTTGGGTAGATAGCAGTGACTGAACCGTGCTCACTGACAACTTCTGTCAACTCAGCTGGCAGCAGAGCAGGGACACTGTGAGTATCCCTGATGGATTTGCTCTGGACAAGAGGGGGAGTCCAGGCAAGTCTGTTATCTGGGAAAAGCCTTAGGTACCACTGCCAGTCAGATGACTGAAATTATATGGCTGAGGGTGGGCGCAGTCTGCAGTGGATCTGTTCCTCTGAGAAGATGAAATATGATTTTGAAGTAGAGGAACGGTCACGTTTGGCTTTCCCCACCCAGACAGCAGTGAGTTTCCATTCAGCTGCTTTCCCTGATCAATGCATATGTAGCAGCACAGGCCAGAGAGAGTATTTTAGGCTTATTGCCATCTCTATGCAGAAAATGCTCCACCATCAGGTCCTCTTTCCATCAGATCGAAGCAGGAACGTTTCTTTTCTCCATCAGTCTCCTGAGCTAGAAAGGAGCCTGGAGGAAAATGTGCTGGCTGCAGCTTCTCTCAGAAAATAAAGGAGGGCTAGGCTTTGACTGCCATACCCTCCGCGTCAGTCATCGTCTGTCTTTCTCCAGCTTTTCCACGATGAAGACAGTTCTGTCTTCCCTCCTCCCACACACCACCACCACACAAAGCCCTTTGCCCAGCCCTGCTCCTCTGGTTTGAAGGTGCCCTCTCGTCTTCTCTTCTGCCTGGGCTCCCCAGTCCTCCCGAGGCTGTGTCTGTGGATAGCACAGCTCTCCTGTGTAACACAGGAGATGTGACTTACCACGGGCACTGTCGCTCACAATTCAAGCAAAGGTTTGAACTGTGTTTTTCATGGTGAGTTAACTCCTTCAGAGTCCTGTGATTAATAATGGTTTACAGATCTGAGGATGCTCGGTCTCTGGGCCTTGTCATCTGACTTGCTTAAACTTTAGCGCTTTTTTTTAATGCAGTATAGGGTTGCTGTGAAAAGGCCAAAAAGAGACTTTTCCAAATACCAGATTGCTGTTCAGCTACATTTGCTGCTGTGACACTTATTTCAGGGTATTCTGAGATTTTACGGTTGTTTTCAGATGAGTTGCATCAGCAGCTTTAGTGCTGTCTCCTCTTTTCAGTCTCTGTTGTGGAAGTTGCCATGGCCTCATGTAGGGTTTCCCATTAGAGACCCCCAAGTTCCCCAAACCAGCAAGCTGGTGTAGAAATTCTTGGCACCACATGTTAGAAATCAGAATGCAAGTTCTCGGTGCAGATTATGGGAGGTAACTAATCATAGTTTAAGTGTTGCAATGCTGGCTGAGAAAGGGCTTGTTCTGAGTGCTCTGTTTTTATCTCTTTGACTTTTATGTAGCAAGGAGCGTGCAGCTGGTACTGGTTCAGGGACAGCAGCTGGCCTTGCAGGTGGACACCATCGGGAAGCTTGGACTACAAAAGGACCGTCGTATGAGGACTTGTATACCCAGAACGTTGTCATCAGCATGGAGGACCAGGAGGATCTTAACCGGTCTGCGAATGAAGGAAAGCCAGCCAGAGAGAGACCAATTTGGCTACGGGAGAGCACTGTGCAGGGGGCTTATGACCCTGATGAAATCAAAGATGGTAAGAAAATTCACAGAGCAGAAGTACTGCTCTGCTTATGTGATGCTCTTAGAGTGCTGTCAAAAATACGTTGCCCTGCATGTGTACAGCTGCTGCTCGCTGCACTCCAGATTTTTTCTGCTCCCCTCTGCTGTGCAAAGCACCTGTGTGGAGGTAGATGTAAAAAATCCTGGTTTATTAGATCCAGGATTGAAATCTAGGTCAGTAAAGCTGAGTTTCCCACAAAATTGTTTGTGCTTGTAAAATGTTCATTATCTGTTACGTCTTCCACCTTGACGGTTTATTGCTTTTGGACGAAGGCCTTTCAGTCTCATCTAGAAAGCTGCCCCCCTAATAGGTCACTGCTGAAAAATAACATTTATTAACATTTGGTCACTCTGAAACCTACCAAATCTACCAGCAGTGGTTTTGTGCTCCCAGCCACCTTCTTGCCAATTGTTTTTCAAAATGTGTTTTATATGAATAACATGTCAGAAATAAAGCTGCGGGAAGTACAGTAGGAAGGTCTGTCACCACGGCAGGTGAATCTTTATTGCTTTCTGTTTGTTTCTCATTATCTTTACTTTTATTTTCATTCATGTTTGGATCAGGTTGTCCATAGACAATAGTCAAGATGTTGTAACCGCTAGTAGAAACACTCTGCTTTGGTAAGCCTGCTATTTAAACTTCCACACTAAAAATATGAAATAGAAACCTTCTGTATTTTTACAAGAGTGAATCAATAGATGCAATCTTCCAAGTCATTTGAGGATTATAAAATGAAACTGTTGATGCCCTAGGAAGAGAAGATGGCAAAAGGGAACCGCATGTGTAAGCATGAGACCCTGGAACGAGTGCAGTGCTCAGGAGAGGAGTGGAGTATGTAGGTGCAGCAGAAGTGAAGAAAATGGATGTGAAATAATGGTCAGAAGATATCTAATGATCTTGGTTGCGTGTAACGCCTTTCAAGCATACGGATCCCAAACCTTTTTCCAAATAGATTAAACAAAGTAAGGTGATTGAAACAACCTCCTCCTGCAGTCTGTAGCAGATGTCGTTATTACTCACCAGCCATGGTGAGTTCTCACCCTGTTTTTCTGCTAGACATTCAATTCACCTGTAGTTTTAAATTGGCTCCTTGAGATGACTTTTGGTGTACACAGCATAAATGTTTCTCAGATGGCACTGAAGGACATGGAGGGGGAGTATATCTCCTTACAGCACGATGGCATTGCTGCCTAACTTCCACCACTACTGGAGATTGAATAGGGGACTTGTGGACATAGCCTGAAATTGCTGCTGTGACACATTTCTATACCTCTGGGATGACTTAAACAGGGAGGAAGGAAACTTGGGACTGTTGACAGAAAAGATTCACTGCTTGGAACTGTCAGGAACAGTTCCTGCAAGCAAGAGACAGCCCCGCTCCTGCGCCACAAAGTCAGACTTTGTGGAGCTACCCCAGGCTGTGGTCGCTTCACAGCTCTCAATGTGATGAGCTACGATATTCTCTCACAGCGATGCTCTCCAATAGCCTCTTATGCTCCACAGTCCCAAGCAGCAAGCTGAGCACAAGGCTGCCAACAAAACGCCTTCATTCTTCCTTTTCTTTCAAGAATTTTGCCAGTGCATTAATAATAGTAGTTGCAGCCATCGCACATTACTACAACTTCATTTACAATAAAAACATGAGTCCAATGAAGTTAGGGGTGGGTCTTTTGGCCCTTTATTTTACCACAGAAAAGGAGTGAGCACAGACTCCCCTGGCTTTTAGTGCTAAATGCAGAACTTCTTTCCTTAGTTCACCTGTTTCTCAGCATTTTTTTTCATCTCAAGTTGAAAAAAGTAACCAGTGCATTTTTGACCAAGGGGGAAAGCTTGGGCGCCGATTGCCTGGATGTGGTGCTGAAACCATGAGGGTCCAGGTCTTGGAGAAGCAGGCAAGTGGCATTCATGTCTGAATGCAGAATGCCGTCACCTCAGCTCCAGCAATTGTTCATAGGCAGCATCTTTAGGTGCCAGAGAGAGAGTTTGCCATGGGGAGTCTGTCCTACTTTTTAGGCCTTGTTTTTACATAAGGTTCTCTGTATTTCATTTTTTTGTTCTGGGTTTTTTTCTTTTTTTTCCATACTGCCTGTAGGTTTATTGGTGCTGGGTGGACTCACGGTCCTCTCATCAAATGTAGGATTAGGAGAAGCTTTCTGCTGAATGCCACTTTTTTAACAGAATTTTACCTTTTGAATCCGTGAACTGCAGACACGCTGCCTACCCAAGCCATGTCAAACCCTCCCAGCTATTGTACAGCCAAGGTTACTGAAAGAGGAGCACAGGCCGTGTGTCTGTCGGCTGGGAAACTGCAGTCCCCTTCAAATAAGAGGTCCGGGTAGGGAGCCAGAGAGCCTGGCTGGGTTGTGTTTCAGCTTGGAGAGCAGGAGCTGTTTTAACACAGCCTTCCACGCTGCACTGCACAGCTTGGCTGCAGGCTGTAAGCTGCATCTGCTTCACGAGGTAGATCCTGCTCGCTACCACCGTGTTCCAGTAATGAGCTTTTCCCCTTCCTGGCTGGTAGGTGCACCTCTGAGCTTACCAGACACAGCTACTTTGAATGTTGTTTTATAACACATGGTTTCCGCATACTCCCTGTCTGCCTGGATTCATCTGCTTCTCTGTCTTAATCCTTATAGATGGGGAGCTCAACAGGGCAGGGCCTGGTTTTGGGTCTGTGTTTATGGCCTGTGCTGGCAACACCCCGCGGTCTTGGTCATGACGGCGAGTCCTCCAGGCAGTGGTCATACAACCTGGAAACAAAGGGACAAAAAGGAAACAGCCTGTGCTTGTTCACCTGTGAAACAGCACTGCGATACTTGCTGTATCTCTGACAAGTGTCATCATGAGGTGCACAGTCTGGGTATCTGGAAGCCCAGATTTAGGTCCCAAGGACTGCTTTCTGCTCCACAGTAAGGAAGCGCATCAGCCCAGCTGAGGGGCGCCTGAGTTGAACACCTCCGTGGAGGATCTTTTCCAGGTGCCTGCGCATCACGCGTTTGTTGTCTTCTCTTACGATGTGCTCCTGGCCGAGGCTCCCAGCTGGGAGCCACAGCGACTCCAGGCCTCGCAGCTCCTAGGAAATGTCAGTACTTGCTCTGCTGTTATGAGAAAAAAACATAACTATCTCTGCCTTTTAAGGGAGAGGAGGGGCTGACATAGAGAAAGGATGTGACTTGGCCAAGCGTGCTCAGTGGCAGTAACTAATATGGGTCCTGAAAGCCTTCAGGGCCGTCACCCAGATCTCTGTGAGGAAACGATCATTCCCTTGTGTCTCTTTGCAGGGGGCCGGGATCTGGATGCCTTCCAGGACCGTGAGGAGGGCCGGGCAGCTCTGGATGATAATGAGGAGGTGATGCGTGCCCTGCTTATCCACGAGAAGAAGACACCTTCTGCTTCAACAGTCACTGTTGGAGGTGCCGCTCCTCTCTCCGGTGCCAACGCTAGTGACTCCGAGAGCGAGACAAGCGAGTCGGAGGAGGAATCCCCTCCGCGCCCTCCCGCCACAGCCACCACAACATATGGGCTGGAGGATGAGGAGGAGGATGAAGAGTTTGAGGTGGTGGCAGAGGACCCCACCGTCACAGTGGCTGGGCGTCCGCACTCTTACAGCCAAGTGAGCCAGCGCCCTGAGCTGGTGGCCCAGATGACGCCGGAAGAAAAAGAGGTTTACATAGCCATGGGGCGACGCATGTTTGAGGATATGTTTGATTAACTGCTTCCTGCCGTGGCATTTTTTAAAAAGTGACTTTTTATTCCAGAGACTCCCTAGTAAAACAGAAGACTGAAGTGCATCTTTCCTCCCCTGTGCGCAGGGACACTGGGGCTCGGGACTGGTAATCTCAGGCATCTTGCCCACCAGAGAGGGGGAGCAGGAAGGCTGCATGTGCCAAAACAGGTAGGGGAGGACAAACCTCAGAAGTGAGGATGCTTGCAAGGTAAAAATCTGCTTCAGGGTGCCCTGCACAGGCACTACTTTAACCTTGTCCAGGGCCCCAGCAACTGCCTCCTCCCGATTGCTTTGGGTTGATTTTTGTTGCAGACCCCAGTGAAGTCCACATCCCTGCCCTCAGAGGACATAAGGGCTCTGTAGTCTGTTCAGAGCGCTCTGCAGAGGAGCGCGTCAGCAACGTTACAGCTGCCTGTGCTCAGTGAGGGGAAGCAGAGGGAAGCACTCGTCTGCTGGTGGCAAGCTTGGGCAGGGCTCGTAGCTGACCTCCGGCCAGCAGCCACTGGCCTCCGGAGTGGCTATTTCTAAGCGGGCCTGTAGGCAGCAACCTTTTCTTGCTCCCGTTTGCTCCTTACGAGGTCTCAACACCTCAAGGTCAGGTGTAACTCGAAACACGCAGAGTGAAAGCCTTGGCAAACGCACACAGTCACTCTTTGTCAGTGTAACGAAAGCCCTCGACGGATCTGAGCTGTCAGAGCGCTCTGACTTATCAGGATATACCTTCATTTTCCAGTATTGCTGCCTGTTGCTTCTGCCTAGCCCTGTCTGAACCACAGTGTTGCAGACAGTTCGTAGTGGGCAGGGCCGCAGTCAGGCAGCGCCAGAGAAATAGCATAGCTAGTTTTTATTTGCAGTCACACCAGGGCTGTATCATTTTAAGAGGAATTATGCAATTTTGAATTCTGCTTTGGCACACTCTTTTCCCATAGAAGAACATTTATCAGTGCCTACAGAGCAATATCATATTTTTGATGTTTTTCTCTTTCAATTGAAAATGTCGTTTTTTAAAATTGTTGTGTTTTCCTATCTAGTACTACAATAAAACAAAATGATAAAAGAATTTTGTGTTCCAGAGGGTAGGGGCAGTATTACGTGCTGTTCCATTTACAAGGGCAGCATGAATTTGCTGCTTACTGAGACTGTAAATCTGTTTTATACTAACTATGCTTTCTATGTTCTGCTAACCTTGTAATGCCTCCTTTGTGGTTTTATTTTCAGCTTCCTGATATTTTGAATCCCCTCTTTTTTTTTAAATAGTGTTTTAAATTTGCTTTTAAGTCATTTTGAAGAGGAATAAATAAATAGAAGCTTCTCCCCTTTGTCGTCTTCCAGTTTGTCGTGTGCCTAGTTGGGAATGTTGATTGCTTATCATTTTGATTTACTTGATTCAAGAAAAAAAAAAACAATTTGAGGCTCTCCTTTGAGGGAACGGCTATTTGAAATCCCACTGCACATCGTTTCTCCTCCCCAGAGCTTCCTTGAATGCCTCCTGGAATCTCCTGCACTTCCAGGTAGGATGTTTCATTACGCTGGTACTGTGGGAGGCCCTTTTTGATCAGCTCTTCTGTTCCTTTCCTCCTTCCTCGAGGGAAGCGTAGGCTGATGGCGGAGGTCTCACAGACATCGTATTGCTCGTTAAAATGGTACTCTTGTGTAGACACACCTCCAAGATCTGGTACCAAGCTTCTAGATATCAAGCGACAGAGCTGGTAAGTCAGATTCAGTGATCAGCTAACAGAAAAAAAGTGCTGTACCAATTCTGTCTAGATTGAATCTGGTTGAATTCAAGGTTAGCACTGGAGAAAAGCAGGTAGATTTACAAGGAGCCAAAGACAGAAACGGAGAACTAACCCTGACTAGAGTACAACTACTCATGCTCGTAACTCACCAGTAGTTTATAACTAAGCTTTTAGCCTGAAAAATCAAGCTGCAGGTTTATTAAAGCTTAAGTGAAGAAATACTGGGTTTTACTATAAGAGCACTGATATTGCATCTATATCCAGCATAATCATCTATAAAGTAGTGGTTTTACTTAAACATATTTAATTGTGGTTTGCACGGGGGTTGTCACCTTTGTCATTCAGCAAGGCCTGTCCTGCACATGAGGGAATCGGCGCGGTGGTTTGTAGGGCATGCCTCCGTCTCTCATCCACCGCACGCAGCCCTCAGGAGGACTGGCGAGGTCAAGATACAGGAGCAGATGCCGTCATTGTCTCCTGCCCTCACTAACAGCTTCTGGCTCTCAGAAAGGATGGCTGCTCTGCTCTGTTCCAGCCGGTTAGGGCTGTTGTCGAAGGACACCTGTACGCTGCTGCTGCCCTGTCGTGACAAGCACTGCTTGAACGAACAGGAGCACGTACAATCGATAGCGCCTTTTTTTTCTTTTTGTCCTGCAATCGAAGCAGGGCTCTGCACACATGCCAGAAGAGGAAGACGGGCCGCTGCTGCAAGCAGAGCCAGCCGTCACCAGCAGGTTGGTGCTAATGCAAGGGATAAAGCCATCAATTCTGAGGAAGGCCCCAGCCATTTCCTCTGGCTGCCGGACCACATGTGCTGCATTAACGCTAACCTAATAACACCATGAGCGTGGTCGAGCGCTGAAGCCTTCCTGGGTGAATGCTCTGTCTAACCCCATTCAAACCAGTTTCTCTCTGCTTTCAGCCTAAAGTGCGCTTTGTCTGATGAGTGTGCTTGAGACCAGGGCACCGCAGCTCAGGCTGGAAAGAAAAACGCATTTCTCATGGTGCTCGTACTCCTCTCCCCAAAGGTCAGAGGTGCCGGGTGCCTGTCGCAGCCGTGCGAGAGCCGCCTCTGTCCCTGCTCCCATGGCAGGTCAGGGAAACCGCAGCACAGTGACATTCTCCATGGCCCAGCAGAGAGCAGGCCAGAGCAGATCGGTGAAGCTGCTGATGGAGGGGAAGATGGCTATCAACACTGGAAAACGGGAATCTTTTAATCTTTTCCACTAAGCTCCTGAAAATTGGCTTCCTCCATCAGGGAATCCCTGTCCATCCAACTCTTCTGTTCCTGTGTTGTTGCCTCCTTCAAACAGACTCAGATTAAACAGACAGTTGCTCTGTGAGGTTTGAGGGATTTGAAGACCCCCTGGAGGAAGGGCGGAAAACCAGCATCACCTCCTCCCTGACACATCTGAGGAGCCCTGCCTCGGTGACGCCTGCAGCGCCAGGGCACGCTGTGTGCTTGGGTCTCTGTCTCCCGCTGCGCCCCGTAGGAGGAGAGAGACAGTTGTCTCGGGAATCAAATGCATGACAAAACCTTCATGGCAATGGGAAGTTTAGGAGCAGGTGGAGGGACGTGAGGCCTGAAAGCAGTGGGGCAAGCCAGCGGGCTGTCCAGTATGCTCTTCGGGCTGGGTCGCGGAGGAGAGGTGGCAGCAGCCCCATTCCTCTGCCCTGGTATGCATCGGCATAATGAAGTGAGGCGGTGGGCTCGGTTCCTTGGAGGAGGGGGGTGTCACGCAGTGCTGCAAAAAATCGCTCTGGGCTGCTCCAGGACTGGTATTGCTCTATGCCTTTGGAAGCCCTGGGCAAGGTAACTGTGTCCCTGGCTGCTTCACAGGAGGCTTTGGAGTATTGATCTAATCACGGAGAGCCAAGGATCCCTAAGCATCACGATACACTCCAGTTTGAAGTGTATTGACCATGAGTCAACACAGCCTCTTCTCCAGGAGCGCGGGAGCTGAGGCTGAGGAGTAGCTTCTGTCTGCTGAGCTGCTTCCAGAATAATGATCAATATTTATAAAGTCCAAGGAGATCATCACTCAAACAGTCTTGACAGGAGGCGTAGCCAGATGCTTCAAGCTGTTTAAGATGTGATTGCACAGAGTCATGGAGAGGCTGCTGCCTAAAAGGAGCGGCAGCCCAAAGCGTGGGGAATGATGTCCGACTGCTGGTGCTCCTGGAAAGCTGCCTGCCTGCCTGCCTGCCTGCCTGCCTGCCTGCTCCCTCCCAGCAGAGAGCAGAGCACCGGCAGCGCCCGGCTGTCCGGGACTACAACCCCGTCACTCTCGATGGCAGAGCTATTTTCTCTCTCCTTCAAAGTTAGCCAGGGACATCTGGCCTTTTGCCTGTTTGGGATACCTAAACGAGCTGCCAGAAGGTGGTTTCTTATTTACCAGCATTAATTAGATTAAGAGAGAGAATGAACCTAATTTATATTTAAACAAAAATCAGATTTTGGAAGTGCCTGCTGTATCATTAAAAAACATATTAAGGACAGTGAGTATTTGTGCAACCGTCCTGGAAGCAGCAGACAGAGAGTCTCTGAACAAGATGCTTTAAATATAATAGGTATTTTTGCTCAAAATATGTTTCTGACCTAAATATAATTTAATTTACATCCCTTTGAACAGTTTGATGCTAATGAACCAGCCAGGGATGGCAGAGAGGAGGCTGAGCCAGCCGCATCGGAAGCGACTCGGCTCCACTGCAGTGCGTTAGCGACCCTGCCTGCGCTTCACCCCGGCTGCACGCAGCGACGAATGCGCAAATCCCGCCGAGAGCTGGCCACAGCAGCAGGAGGAAACCTCGGGCTCCTCAGCCGGAGAAACAGGCAAGGATCCAGCCTGAAAATTAAGGCCGATCAAATATTGTTCCACGAGCATTAATGTCTGTATACAAAAAAAAAGGTATGTCTGGCAAGGAGGAAAAAATCACATTTCATACAGATGTGATTAAAGCCCTGACATACTGCTTCTGCTTATTTTTCACCTGGACTCCATATTGCCAGCCTCTGCCATCCCATCACTTGCTGGAAGGAGGGTGAGCAGTGGTAATTTTGCAGTGAGCTAAAATTGTGCGTAGAGCTGAGAAGCCTGGCTCAGTTCCACCTGGTAAAGGGATCCTCCTATTCTTAAACACTTCTTTTTTTCTGCGCTTCTGACAATGGAAATCTGCCTGATCTAATGCCAAATTTGCCAGGCACTGGTAGAGTCCATGCTTTTCCTGTGTCCTCTTAACATACAT